TTTATGTTTTTGAAGTGATTGCTTCATTATTATGAAAATAAACTTTTTTCTATTATTATGTGCGTCATTCCCATAATATCATGGGAACCATTCCTATAATATTATAGGAACCATTCCCATAATATATTGAAGCTATTCCATTATTGTATAGGAACGTTTCCAATAAATTATGGGTATGGTTCCCATAATGAGTATAGGATTAATGCCTATAATGATAATTTTATTATAGGATCCATTTCCATAATTGTTGGAAAGATTCCTATAAATTTCTCTCCGTGTATTAGCTACAAAAAATGATTTTAAAAACGATCTCTTTCTCTTAGGATTATTTTTTAATAACAAAATTGTGAACTAAATAAGTAAAATTAAAAGTATACTTACCCATGCAAACAAGAACACCGTCGTATTTGAATGCCTTCACCGCTACGATAAGACACGTATCAAAACAATTTCAGTGGCATAAACGTGCCTCGAACAATGCCCAAGCATTCCGGGTGTCTGTAGAAAATTAGTTTGATTAAACAATGAGACCTCTAGAAAGTCCAGATGTAACAACTTTACCAGACTCGGTTATTAATGCGCTTCACCTTTTGTCAATTTTTTGCCCTACAATTTTCAATGTTCCTCTTTCTCTATCTCTTTCTTTCTTGCTTGTTCTGTTCTGAAATCAAAACATTTATTGACAACAATGTTAAATGTTGAATATATCTTTGTAACCAAAAAACAAATATTTCATAATAACATACCACGAAATACAAGTCAGCAAGATGGCAGCGGCCGATTTATAAGATATCGCTCATATGATACTAAATTTCATTAGCGATATTTTTACAAAACATGCATTGGTAAGAAATATACCGATAAATCGAGCACACAATACAATAGCTAACTCGCTGCACTCAATATTTATTTTTATGTATTATGTATTATATTTACTACTATTATTTGCACGAGTTTTATTCATTTTTTAGCTTTTACATACCCTGGAAAAAACTTCTTGGTTCAAAAAAAATATTTCTTCATAATTATAAAATTTTTTTAGAATTTTACAGCAATAAAATTATTATAAAAAAAAATTCCACATGCAAAAATTTAAAAAAATTATTAGTGGAAATTTTTTAAAACAATTTTTTTTATAGTAATTGATTTTTTATAAAAATTTTAAAAATTGACAAATGTCAGCCAACTTATGAAAATTAAATTAGCCGACATTTAAAAATTTTTATAATTTATTTTATTGAAAAATAATTTTAAAAAAATTGAAACAAAAATTTTTACATGTAAAAAATTTTTAAAATTATACGTGGAATTTTTTAAAAATAGTTTTTTAGTTCTAATTTTTAATTAATAAAAAAAATTAAAAATTGTTTAGTGTCGGCTAACTTAAATTTCATAGCTAACTTTAGTATTATTAATGATGTCATTTTTGCTTCAAAGTATTTTTAAAATTTTAGAATAAATCAAAATTAAAAATAATAATATTTATCTTGAATCAATCAGCGCTTATGTCAGTACACGTACTCTTTGGGGTTAATTTCTTTAATCATATAATATTATACCATTAATATCATTTGTCCTTAATAATTGTTTACCCAAGCATGAAAAATTTCTTTGTAGTTATCTGCACAGAAAAAAAAATTAATTTGAATCAAGTAAATTCTTGAATAAGTTTTTTTTTTCTGTTTGTAAAATAAAGCCGCAGTAAATAGCTAATAATAAAAAGCTTTAATTAAAAAAGGAGGTTATTATAATTAAAAAATTTTTGACAGGTTCTCGTAGGCCAAGTTTAGCGTCGCTGCACAGCTCAGTTTCCTCGGCGCGGAGTTACAGTGCTAAGAGGTTGGAACGAGAGAGGAACGAAAAGGAACAGAGACAGGCCCTCCAGGAATTGAGACTTTCGCGTCAGCGAGATTCAGATGCTGCGCAGCATCAGCCAGCACAACCTCAAACGCAATTGCAGTTGCAGCAACAAACGGGTACTCCTAGTCCCAGTCCTCGAACTCCACATTCAACTGATGAGCTGTTGCCTTCTGTCCAAGAAGATAAAGAAGCATTTTATAATGAGGTTAAATTACTTTCTTGAACTCTAATGTACTTTCTTAAATATTGACTTTTTTAAAGATATAATAAGCTCATCCCGATATTACACTCATCAAGAGCTTTCATTTGAGTACCCACATACATTTTTATATATTTTTCATATATACATATATATAATATATA